TGTCTAGAGAGGGTGTAGCGATACTAGAAAGTTAAGATGTTGTATAGGCAACTGGCCTTAGAGTAGTGTATCGAACTAAAGGACACGAGTGACCCATAATCATTGACGAAGAGGAAGGCTTGGAAAGGGATCAAAAATATTGAGGAGGAGCTTTCACAAAGGCCAATAACCGATAGCTGATGTCACTAGCCTTAACTTCTTTATCTATTTGAAAGCTGATGGGAGTACGGCTTTCTTCAAGGAAGTGTCTCATATGATATTATATTAGTAAAGAACCCTTGATCTTAGATAAGTAAGCAGATATACCTATGGCTGGAAAGATAGCGAGCGTTATTCTCAACTTAGTCTCTCAGAGGCCAGCTCATTGTAACCCTAAAACACGACATTAGCGGGGTTGGGCTCCCCATGCAGAATACAATAAACATGGGACAGCCGGGAACGATGACCCTTCTCAAGCCTGAGGCCTAATTTGGACTTTCTCTTTCTACTACTTGCCATTCCGAAGTTTAGGATTTAGTTTCGAACCGATGGGATTTTTCGAATGGTAATAAAGCTTGCCATTCTATTTGTTTGGTCGAATCCGACTCTGGGTCTGCCCTTTTGCTAGCTTTTCATTATGCTGGTTCAACTACTGCTTATGCTTGAAATATCTAAACACCTGAAATCCACTCTCAATATACGCTACCCCTTAAACAGTGTGAAAGGGTGGTAGGTAGAACTAAGGGAACAAATCTTTTTTGGTTCGATAATGGAATCAATAGCTTTCCCGAACAGGGATATAGGAAGAAGCCAATAGCCTACAGGCTTGCCAGCGGACTTGCTTGACCTATTGAAATGTCAATATAGACTTCTAGCACATGGTCGGCTAGCGAAAGGTCAGCTTTGGTTCTAGGCAAAGATCCGCTAGTAGCAGTTCCTATCCCAGCTCCCATTCAATATTCATTCAAAGTATTCTACCCATGCTTCAACCAGCTGCTTTGCGGACTGCTCTTGCTCTTACTGCTCTTTCCTATGCTTCCTCCTTCTGACTACTTGCCTTTCCCTCACTGTCATTGCCTTGCCGCTTGATATCTCGTTTTTTTTATCTTGTGCAATTAAAGGGAACGAGACTGGAAAGCCCAAACTGATCTCGACGGGGGAATGCTTATCGATATTGAAGCCGTTCCGCTCATCCCTCTTTCCTTTCGAGGAAGGACTTCTCTTCACTCTCTTTGAAGAAACCAAGTTTGTAGTTACGTAGATGATAATCGGCTTATACAAAGGTTTGTTTGTTGGAATCTTCTTCTGTCAAAATCTTTTGGGACGCCTTGGTGGTTTCATATTATTTAAAATAGTTTAGAAAGTTATTCCTACAATGAAAGGCCTCCTTTCTTTCATCTAAATGCGGAAGAAATTCAAAAATATCCAGATTTACAACTAGTCGTTCAAAAATAGCCCTTTCAAAAGTAATCGAAATTTTGCCCCTTTTCATGTAAAGATAAATCTGAGCGAAATCACTGTTCAAAACCCAAAAAATACGCTAGTATATTATGTTGGAGTTCCAGCATAAGTATACTTGAACCCCAGCATATTATAATGGAGTTCCAGGATAAGCATGCTGGAACTCGAGCATAATATGATGGAGTTCCAGCATAAGTACACTAGAACTCCAGCATAATATACTAGAGTTCCAGCAAGTATATCGGTCCAGCATAATATACTGGAGTTTGGAGCACCGGTGCTCCAGTCTCTAGTATATTATACTGGAGCCAGCAAAGTCTACCGGTCCAGCATAATATGCTGGAGTTCATACACAGGTGCACCGAACTCTAGTATATTATGCTGGACCTGTCGCTGTTGCAGCAAAATAGTGGATATTTTTCATTGACTTGGTAAACGCTGGCTATTTTCGAATGACCGGTCGAAAACTGGCTATACCGTGCTATTTTTACTCTAAATGTTGGCTGGTCTCTTTTCATATTCAAAAAAGGAAGGTGCTGCTTTAAAGCAAGTCGCTTAGGTTCTTAAGAAAGATTTTTAGTTTTGTAAAGCGGAATTCTCCTTTGACTCGATCTTTAATTGAAGTATAGCATTATGAAAACTCTTTCAAAAATTCAATAAGTTTCTCAAGGATTTTGAGAAAATCCGACTTAAGACTCGACTTTGATTTTTTCTTTTTATATTTCTTTTCTTGTTTTTTTATTAAATTACATGAGTAAATCATCCATGTCTTTCTTGTTCCACTAGCTAGGAGATAATTTGAAAATGTCCCCTTTGTTATTACTTATTTCTTTATGTCAAAGACGAGAAGCGGGAAACATCATTTTTTTATTCTTTTCTTATGAGGTCGTGTACAACAACCTTAACTGCATAAGCCTGGGCTAGGCCTACTTCCATCCCTAGAGGTGCCGTATGAGGCGGAAGCTCCACGTACAGTTTTGAAGTCGAGCCTTTCCAGTAATAGGGCCTAGGGACCGATATGATGATTGGTTTAGGTAGGGCGACCGGCCTACTACAGGCACTTGTAGGGATTAGTGTGTGAGACCGCGATCCACAAACTGACGCATGGGACTCAACTTTTACTTGGGAATAGAGAGGATAAACATAGCATGTCACAAGAGCGAGGCGAGGGTTGGAACCCTACTGCAGGAGGGACGCCTCGCGAGCCTGGCTTTTAGACATGGGGCCTTTTGGCGAAGCCAAGTCAATTTCGGGCCACCAAACCCTGCAACTGATGAGAAGGCCCTATGGAGTAAAGGGAAGCGTGTACGTTGTCACACTCTCTGCCTTCTAAAGGTGCCTAGAGGACGGGCCAAATGCAGCAGAGCAACGATCGGGGAGCGGGTTCCCCACTAGAAGGGGGACAGGAGACGACCATCTCAAGGCACATCACGACCTACAGGCAACATCGGCGAGACCTGAGAAGGCAACCCGATTGGGTGTCAGAGGATCCATAGTACTTGCAGCCTCCCAGACTTCATATTCATCATTTTTTAAAGCGAGGAGAAGGGATCTCTTTTCTGCAACGGAAAAAACGGAGCAGATTTGACTCGGCACAACCTAACGAAACATCCAATACCAATGATCTGTGCCTAGAATGTGTTGTTAGATCTCTGCTCTAGAAAGCTATACAAGCAACAACGAACGTAGCTTTGACCCCCGGCTTCCCTTTCATTACTTCTTTTAGAAAAGATCATCAGAAAGGAGACAACCCGCTCAAAAGACCCCAATTTTCCGACCAAGACAATCAAAGATAGTTGGCAGGGGCGCGACTTATGTCCGTGGCCCTATGCCCGACCATGCCGAGGTGTGATACCAAGAGAGCCATCGCAACCACTGATCTACCTATTGGCCTAGAAGAGTGTGCTCCTCTATCTCTCGTTCACCATCGAACACCAGCTCGTCTGGAAAGAGCCCTATCTCCTTAGGCTTTAATGCCCTTCGAAAAAGAGAATCGATCATTTTCGCCTTCAAATAGGGATTGAGAGGCTTTCCCCTACCCAACCTGAATTCTAAGGGTAATCAATGTGAACCATAGGATTTAGAAGCAGCCGCTTTCAATCGTTCCCAATGTCTAGATTGAGTAGACATCAAAGGGAAGAGAAGACGATAGTCTGCACCAGCTAAGCGTTATAGAACAGACATTGAAATGATGTATACCCGCTAACTGACATTGTAACGAGGATTTTAATTGTACGATTTCAACTTCGGATATAATTCACCGTTGACTATATGACAGGAAATAATAATAATAATAATAATAATAATAATAATAATAATAATAATAATAATAATAATAATAATAATAATAATAATAATAATAATAATAATAATCTATATGTAATAGTATTATGAAAAAATATTTTCACACCATTCATTGAACAATTAACAAATTCAATTGATTGATGAATGAAACGACGCCGACACGTGGCATGAGTGCGTAGAAGACTACCGGTTTACGTTTTTTTTCTTCGAACTCTTGGTTTACTTGCAGACTTGCAGTGTTTATAAATAGGATTAGGGACGTTCGTGCTTCGGTTTGGATCGGTTTTTTCCTTAAAAAAAATCAAATCAAATAAGTCAGTTTTTCAAATATTAGAACCAAACCAAATCAATTAAGTCGGTTTTTTCTCGATTCGGTTTATGTCGGTTTTTCGGTTTTTTCGGTTATTTATCGGTTTTTTCTTAAATATAAGACATACACTACCAAACACACATTTCGGCGACCTCATTTTCAACGTAACACTATATTAATTGCCCTTTGAGAAATCTATTATTTACCAAGATATATTGATGATAATTGAATCAAATAGTGATGAATAATTTAAGGACTCAATTAAAAATATATTATTTTAACATGAAATAGATTCTTACACTTAACAAAAGAAAACTACCAATAAAACTAGAATGTAAAGGTAAAGAATTGTACTAAAAGTGCAAACGATTAATATTTACTATAAAAATTTTAAAAATTTGTATAAAAGTATAAATATATATAGGTGTAATAATAAATTTAAAATAGATACTCTTATATTCGGTTTGGTTCGGTTTTTTTAATTAAAACCAAAACCAAATCAAATTTGATCGGTTTTTAAATTTTAAAATCAAAATCAAACCAAACCAAAAAATATCGATTTTTTTGGTCGGTTTAATTTGGTTTTCGGTTTGGTTTGGGTTTTCGGATTTTTATGAACACCCCTAAATAGGATTGTTACATTTAATATTCTTGTTTAGGCGGCTAGGCCTTCCTCTTTAATTTCTCTTTGCCATAACTAAATCACACTTGCTTCCCTTTACCCTGCATGGTTCCCTCTTTCTTTATATTACCACCATATATTCTTGTTTTACTTCCAATTTCCCTTTCCTTTCTTCAATCTATATAAGTGTAGATTTTAAATAACAAATTCATCAGCGTGCGGAATATTAACTTTACCCACTACTCATTGTGAAAATAGGTAAATACATTACTATTTCTTTTTGTAAAAAATCTCTTCCTTCTGCCTACCCTACTCATTGTTTAATTTTACGTTGTGTATACCATCATTCTAAATTTCTGCTTTCTTTCTTGATTCTTGTTGTTCTCTCTTGGAAAGTTTAGATTTTTGTTTAACTAGCTGGGTTGATCATATTCAAAGGACACCCACTAAGGAATATGCTTTAAAGATTATCAAGAAAAGGATTATCAGAGTAATTTATGATCAAATTTGAGTTTCAGCAGTAACTTTTGGTGGAAGAAATCTTTTCTTGTGGGATTGAAAATTGGATTTTAAAGGAGAGATTATGAAACTCTGCCTTTTGGAATTAGGAAATTTATCATTACAAGAGGGTCCATATAATTGAAAAGAAGTTTTCTTTATTTATGGTTTTACAGAAATTTTGATCATAAATAGGGATTTTGACCTGAATATGTTAGGCTGTATTAATGTATTAGATGAATTCAAGGGTTTGGTTCTGCTTTCACTACTATAATTCCATCGTAATTAGTGTGTATGAGTTTTTCTTTTCCGGTACAATATTTATCTGTCGATTAAATTGGCACTTCTTGATCTTTTTGCTGTTAAAATTTTGCTGTATATTCATACTTATGAATTTCATCCAACCAAGTCGGAAGCTTTTGAATCTTTGAGTTCAATTTGTTGAAAAAGGATAAGTGATTTTGAGGGTAATAATTGTTGCAAACAGTGACAATGGAGTATGGTGAACGGGTCCAATTGAATCCCCCCTTGGCCGAAAATTTGTTCTGTGTATAGGATATAAAAAAATTCTTTTGGTATATATAACTTTTTGAATCCCCTTTATATAAGGAAAACTTTTAGTGTAGTGTTTGTTTGAATCCCCTTGTTAGAATTTCTGATTCTGCGGCTGAGCAGAGAGTGCCACATTATGCCCTATACACTTTATGATAATAGATGCAGACTTAGGATACCTACATATTTAAGAAGTTTTTCAACTTTATGTGCAACAGTTTGAATTGAAAGCAACGGGTGGTCCCCCAGTTTATATTTGTCCAAGTTTTTCCTGTTTATATACAATAATTTGAACCAAAAGTAATGGATTAGCCTGCGATTTCCCCGAGCTCACATCTCTGTTTCGAATTTAGGTCTTATTATGGCAATAGATATTGTACGATTGTTTCCTCTGAAGAATCTTCTAAATGCTTAGGCTTCTTCTGTTTACTCTTATAGAACTCAGAATGCCGACTGCAAATCCTGATCAAGAAAATGAATTATTTGCTGAGGTTGATCCATCCGGGAGGTTTGGACGGTACGAGGAGCTTCTAGGCCGTGGTGCAGAGAAGATGGTGTATAGGGCGTTTGATATTGCGGAAGGCAGAGAAGTCGCCTGGAATCAGATTAAATTGAGCAGATTCCATGGCGACTCTTTCATCATCAATAAGATATATTCTGAGATCAAGTTGCTGAAGAACTTGAAGAATGACAACATCATAGTCATGTACCATTTCTGGAAGGACTGTGAGAAGAACATTCTGAATTTCATAACTGAGGCATGTGCGTCTGGTAATTTGAGGGAATACAGGAAGAAGCATCGTCATGTTTCGATAAAGGCCTTGAAGAAGTGGTCGAGACAGATACTAAAAGGCTTGGATTATCTCCATACTCATGACCCTTGTGTCATTCATAGAGACCTCAATTGCAGTAATATCTTTATCAATGGTAATGTTGGAAAGGTATGAACTCAGTCTCAACTGACTTCAGCTGTCCGTTTATAGGTATTGAACACTGGCTTAATGTTTCTATGATCTAGACATAACTATGCGACACTACATGGTACGAAACATAATGTCAGATACTCCGTAGCTCTACTTTATGTCAGAAATACAATGTAATGATGCCTAGTCCTAATGAACTAGTTCCTCTCTCTTTCAGATGATCTAACGCTGCAAAATTCATGCCATTTACTTTCTTGATATATTCATGGAAATGTGAGGTTCTGTTTCTCTTACATATCCTTAAGTCTCCGGGAAGACAACTTGTGCTAGTATTATTAGAGATAGCTTATGGAACTTAAATCCTAAATTTGACTGAGTGGGTATTGGAGTACACACGCTTCAGGCTGCTGGGGGCACATTACCTCTACACCTACTGTCACGATGGATTAGCGGGTGAAGTTATAATCTATAGCCACTTAACTTAAAATCGCGAATCTACATCTGTGTGTTATTCTTGTCACTTTGTATAAAAGCGGGAGTCTAAGATCACCTTACGATATAAAATGTACCCTTGCATAGTGAAGTACATTTGGAAGTGTTTGGTTAATTTAAGGGCGGGCTTCAAAAGTATTCACTCGTGATCGTCAGTGTAAATTTAATCAGATACAAGACTCTTGATCAACCTTAACATCCTAACAATATCATGTTTACGCAGGTAAAGATTGGTGATCTTGGTCTGGCAACAATTGTAGGGAAGAACCATGCAGCACATACTCTACTAGGAACACCAGAGTATATGGCACCAGAGCTTTACGAGGAGGACTACACCGAGTTAGTGGACATCTACTCATTTGCAATGTGCTTGATTGAAATGGCTACTATTGAGATACCTTACAGTGAATGTGACGGTATAGCAAAACTATACAAGATGGTAACTGCTGGAACAAAGCCTCAAGCTCTTAACAGGGTGAGCGATCCTGAGTTGAAGGCCTTCATTTTAAGGTGCATCGGGCAGCCAAGAGCAAGACCCCCAGCCGCTGAACTGTTGAAGGATCCATTCCTTTCTGATGTTGTCAGTTATGATGAGAATTAATGATCTTTGATAGCTGATTCATTTTGTTGAAATTTTGTTAGTTATTGAGTAATATTCCTCATTGTAGCTCAATATTATTTTTGGAATAAATCTGTTCTTGATCATGCAATATACAAAAGACAGTCTCAGTATCCCACCTTTTCTGCTCAATAGAAGTTAGAAAGTGTTGCATAGAGATCCATTGAGATGTATAGTTTGAACGGAAATTAGTTGACTATAGTTGATATAATATTCACTTTCTAGATTTTTGCATTATGAGTTTTTGTAACATTTAGTTCATTGATACTAAGTTTGTAGGTTAAAGAAAGTACCAGTAGCAATAAGTGTACTCAACATATTTCATTGCAAGGGGAGCAAAACAATAAAATAAAACGGGAGAAATTCAAAAATAGTTAGATTTACAACTGGTCGTTCAAAAATAGCTCAGTTTCAAAAGTAATCAAAATTTAGCCACGTTTCATGTAAAGATAAATCTGAGCGAAAACACTGTTCAAAACCCGGAAAATACGCCAGTATATTATACTGGAGTTCCAGCATAAGTGTTACACCTTGTGTATTCGGCGTTATCATGCTGTAAATGGGCTAATTCGATAGGAAGATAATTTATATGAAATATTTAAATGATGTGATAGTTATACATTAAGATTGGAAGTCATTTGAGTTGTGACTAAAAATTCGACAAAGATCGCGCGCAAGTTACGGGTTTAAATTTTACTGGAATTTGGATAAAATGTTGATGAGCGTTTCTCTCAATATACTGGGAGTTATGGTGTGTTCTACCTACCGAATCGAAGGTCTATGAGTCTAGTTTCCAACTCAACAAACCGTTCATTAATACGACTTCGGAGTAGAGAGATATTAACATTTTCGTACAGGGGTGCACACTGTTACGGGAACAGTGTGCCTAGTCGGGTTTAGTCAAAATTTCCTTATTTAAGTCAATTTTTAAAACAGAACCCCTGCGTTTTATNGTTATTATATTTCAGATCATATCTCATGGTTGGTTCACTCGGGCCTTCGGGCATCGGGTGCCAGCCACACCTCCCAAGGTTGGGGTGTGACAATAAGTATGCTTTAACTCCAGCATATTATACTAGAGTTCCAGGATAAGTATGCTGGAACTCCAGTATAATATGATGAAGTTCCAGCATAAGTACACTAGAACTCCAGCATAATATATTGGAGTTCCAGCATAAGTACACTAGAACTCCAGCATAATATATTGGAGTTCCAGCAAGTATAATTGTCCAGTATAATATACTGAATTTTGGATCGGTGCTCCAGTCTCCAGTATATTATACTGGAGTCAGCAAAGTATACCGGTCCAACATAATATGTTGGAGTTCATACACAGGTGCACCGAACTCCAGTATATTATGTTGGACCGGTCTCTGTTGCAACAAAATAGTGGTTATTTTTCATTGACTTCGTAAACGCTGGCTATTTTTGAATGATCAGTCCGAAAACTGGCTATACCGTGCTATTTTTACAAATAAAACCTGTAAAATTCAAAGAAAAGTGAAGTGAGAACAAAATTTCAAATTTGAGGAAAAATCTTATATAGTATATAATATTATTATGCAGTAGTATGTGGCTATTGCCCCCACCATATCTCTTTAGTTGGGAATACCGAAATGAATTATTGGTTCACATATAGGTTAAGTAAACTGTAAAACAACATATTTATTACTGTATTATTGTGTCATAAATTAAATAAACGAATTTCTAAAAGGGATAGCTCAGTAACTACGAGGTCATAATTCTACTTTCAAGCAGGTTATGCTAGTAGAGATCTAAGAAGTGGAGTAAAGTAGAGTGTCACCAGCTAGTAGAGAAGATCACTACAAATATTCAAGTATTTTATGCTAAACTACTTTCATATGCAGGTAGATTGCAAGTGATCAATGCAGTGTTGTTTGCAATATACAACTTTTGGGGGGTTGTCTTTATACTCTCTCAAAGTGTTATAAGAGCAATTGATAGGAAGTGCAGGGAGTATCTATGGGGCACTATAGAAGGACACAGGAAGATGGCATTGGTATCATGGGAGGTATTATGCAGGCCAAAGAAATATGGAGGGCTGAACATTAAGGGATGTAAAAATTGGAACATAGCTTCTGTTGGAAAACTACTATGGCGATTAGTGACAAACAAGGAGGTACTGTGGGTGATATGGGTACATGGGGTGTATATGAAATCTTGTAAAAGCATATGGGAGCATAATCCACCCTCTGACTGTAGTTGGTATTGGAAGAAGATAAACAGTTTAAAGCATAATATGGCACAATGGTATAATGGAAGAACTTATAGGCTGACAAGCAATGGAGATTATTCGGTATCTAGCAGTTACAATGTAATGCTAGGACAAATGTCAAGGTGTAGGGAAATGGATTTGATATGGAGTAGGGTAATGCTACCAAGACACAGATTTGTATTGTGGCTGGCATACCAACAAAAAATGCAAACAAAAAGCAGACTAGTACAGTTGAACATTCCTATCACAGGTGATGCTGAATCTTGCATGTGTGAGCTGGGAGTGATAGAGACACAATAGCATCTGTTAGGGGATTGCTGTTGGGTTAAAAACATGAGAGATACTCTAACTAGATGGGCAGCAGTTAGTTTACCAAACATGGCAATACCAGAGATGATACAGTGGATTAACAAAAGGCACTGGAAGCAATTAAGGAAGGAGGTTGCAACAGCAATTATAGGAGCAATTGTATACCACACTTGGCAAGCGAGGAACTGGAGAATTTTCAGACAAATTAGCCTAAATCTGGAGTTTTGTGTATGGCAAATTAAGAAGGAGATGGTGGACAGAATAGGCATGTTTGTAGAGTCTAAAAGAGCAAAGCAATGTCCACCGATGATACAAAGATTCTGTAACTAAGAAGTGTCTGTAGGTAGGATTCTTGTAGTTTATTAATTCTAAAGTCATAGAATTTTGTACTTAGAAGAGGTGTTTTTTGTTCGAGGTCTTGATGTACTAGAAGAGCTAGTACACTTGATGCTCATACGATGTAAAGAAATTGATTGTTATGGTAATATTCACATTTATTACCAAAAAAAAAATCAACTCTAAATAACTACTATTGTCTTTATCTATTCATTTATAAATATCATATCAATTAACATCACCTCCAGATTAATTTACATGAGCTAGATGATCGATTAATATTCTTTAAAATTAAGCTAACTCTTTCATCATACACTTATATTGTGATTCTTCCCCTAGATTAAATTAGAACACTTCGATCTTCAACTAGTTGGAGTTGGCTCCATGAATCTTTGAATTCTTGGTAATACTTGTATTTATTTTACCACAATCTTCGCAATCTATTCAGGTTTAGAATCAGTTACACACTCTCTCATTTTATACGGGACATTTAAATATTTCAAAGAATATTAATTTTTAAACTTTTCATTTTACAAAAATTTGTTCTTTCTCTAACTTCTACCGATCCCATTTCGAATATTATTTGTGAAACCTAGAGTTATCACTTAAACGTACAAAATTAAATTAATGTTTTTTATAAATTTTCCTGAAAGAAGAACAAACGTACAAAATTTGTTCTCATTTTTATTCATGTTACTTATCTGAAAGAAGAAATCAAAATTAAATTTTGTGGGTGGCCAGGAAACCAATTGTAACCACAAAAGAAAAGAGGCAAATGATATCGAGCTGTGTGTTAGGGAATGCCGCAAAATCAATAGTAGGAACAAGAAGAGATGAAGTATACGTAGCAGCTGTGCCGTTGAGAGCCACAAAAGGGCCAGCCCAGTTGCTCATGTCCACTGCTTACTCTTTCAATTTATGGGATTTGCAGCATTTCATGGTCATCATCAACCCCAATTCCTCCTCTCTCCCCTCTCAGGTTTCTCTTGCATTTTGTCCTCCAAATATAGATTCTTGCAGGCCCAAATTCCAAGATTATTCTTTTCAATCAGAAGGTTTTCGATTTGGGTTAGTTTGGTTGATTGTATAGTCCCAACTAGGGGCAGCAAAATGGTTAAAAGAAAATATTTAATCACCCATATTATCCATTAAAAAATTGGTTGGATAATGAACTTTTTAAAAATATATCAAATATGGGTAATAACCATATTATCCATTTAGAAAATGAATAACCAATGAGTCTAATTTTCGCATTTGTAAAGCCTCAAATTGGGGTTCCTCAAGTTAGGGAGACTAAAAATTTTATCAAAAGTGATCTTATGCAAGAAGTCAATCCGCCGGTTAACCCGTATTTTATCCATATTAAATATGAGTCGGGTCGGATAATTTATCCGTTTTTTTATTACACGTCTTCGAGCAGAACCATATCCGGCCCGACCCGCCCGTTCGTCACTCCTAGTCCCAACATAAAATCCCTTATAAGGCAATACAGTTCTAGTTGGCTGCATAAGTAAAAATAATTTCCCCATAAGTAATGCATCATTTGGTTGGCGGTATTAAATAATACCTGTATTAAGTTATGCAGGAATTTATGTATTATTTTATACATGATAAAACTTGAAATAAGATTACGTGTATTAGCAATGCAGGGATTAAACAATTTAAAGAAAAAAAATTATGCCCTTTTGAAGTAAGTAATTCATGTATAATAATCTCTTCGTTGTTACTATTTGCATGAACAATCCAACAACAACAACCCAGTATAATTTCACAAGTGGGGTCTGGGGAGGGTAGTGTGTACGCAGACCTTACCCCTACCCTAGGGTAGAGAGGCTGTTTACAATAGACCCTCGGCATCCTTCCCTCCAAGAATTTCCCACCTTGCTCTTGGGGTGACTCGAACTCACAACCTCTTGATTGGAAGTGGAGGGTGCTTACCATCAGAGCAACCCATTCATTATAAATTACCTTACTAGGTGGGCACGAATCTGGATTAATCAAGCTAGGGAGTTTCAGATAACCAATGATTAAACTGAAAAAGAAAATATAAAAGAACAGTAAGTATTAACAGGTTACTACTTATCTGTTGTAGGCATTAGTGTATGATTTCCAACCTCAAGATCCTGAAAGCATAGCTGTTGCTGTTGCAGCGCTATCCGGCAGAAATGTACCAGGTGAAACCTTTTAGCACTTAGAACTTTTCTGTGGCTCTGGCCTCCATCCAGCTTACTCTAAAAATATATGCTACACCATATAAGATGCTTAGACAACTGTTCTCTAAAATGCAGTGGAAATGGCTGGAAATTTTTTAATCCTAACTTTGCAGCTTATCTGAATGATAAACAAGTTCAAACTTTTAATCCTTTTGGACATTGAATCAGCATTATGTTCAAACTCTATCTCTCTTCGGAACTGACCATCATAGGGATCAATTTCTAGTCACACTTCATATTAAGTCTGCGAAGCTTCTGCATGTACTCTACTTCAGATTGAGCCTACATCCATATTTTTCAAGGTAGGGGTAAGGACTGCATACAAATTACCTTCCCCAGACTCTACATGTGAGATTTCATTGGGTGGTGGTTGTTGTTGTTGTTGAGCCGACATCCATATGGTCATCATTCAATAGGAAATGAGCACTTTAAACTTTTATCACCAATGTTTTATGGAAGTAAAACAAGCTTTTGCCGTCTCTTAACCATTATAAGTTCATATATCTGTGGTTTTAAGTTTGATTGGTAGTTGTCAACATCATCTCCTACGTAATTCATGTCTCCAAGTTTATACCATGTCAGGAGTTGTTCGTATGAGGACTCTGAAGAAGCTGCCAACAAGGAAGTGCTGGTTTGCTGGCTACTCCAAGAGTGATGCAATAGATGCGGCAAACAAATTCAACAAAGGGTGGGAAACTGACTTGAGGATAAAACATCATGACTGCCGAAACTATGCAAATGGTAATTCTACTCACTAAAAGAAATGCAATTCTCAATAATATTTGCCTTTGTTTATAACCAAATTGGAAACAAATACTTTAGTTTTTGCCCTATACATGCAAAATGCATATTTCTTTGTAGTCATTATTTATAGTACATGTCGCTGAGTAAAACTTCCTTTTCATACTTTATTCTTTGCTGATTGACTACTTCAAAGGACTAGTGGAATATCTCACTGGAACGAAAGCAGTGCTGGAGCACCTAAGAAGCAGCAGCGTAGGCAAGAATTGACATGCCATTACCCAGAAAGGACTAAAGCATCGTACTACCATATGTCATAGATGTGTAGATTAAGTCATCAAGTAAACCTTTTGACACTTTGCCAGCCAATAGAAGTTCTGCAAATATATGCTCACAGGCTTTATTTACCGTAGTCTGTAAATCACTTCTATTCTTCCTTACACATTTCTTGAATGAGTCTAGTCCTCATAGTAACATGATAGTAATTGTTCAATTTGTTGTATATCATTTTCTGAACTGTAGAGCTGTTGTGTATAAATCTCCAAATGCTTAAGAGCAAAAATTGTCTGACACTGTGATACAGATGCGTAATTGTGACATGTAGGTTATGTAATCAAGGCTACACGCCGTTTATGTCCACTCTATAAACTGCTCTTCCCCTATATGTACACTGGCCGGGAGCACATCGTGCACAGGATAAGCCCTTTTAACAGCACGAGTTATCCATCTTGACTCATGAGAGCAGGGGCGGATTTAGGGGGGCGGAAGGGGTTCACGCGAACCCCCTTCGTTGAAAAATTACACTGTATATATAAGGCAAAATCTGATTTTTTTTACCTCTATATATTAAGTTTTGAACATCCTTAACAGAGTTCAAAAGTGTAGCTTAGTGGTCAAGGGGGGTCAAAACCTTCCTAAGGTCGTAGGTTCAATTCCCGTTAGCTAAAAAAAATTTAACTTTTTTTTTTGAACCCCCTTCGTGGAGATCGTGCTTCCACCACTGCATGAAAGTACTTGGTTCATGAAGAAACAAGAGTTACTTCCGGTTGGAAAGAGGACGGGAAAACTGTGATGTGAATATAGTTTGAAGGGAAAAAGCATATGGTAATTTGACGGATTGTGCGACTGATAATTGATAATGATCACTGGTTCCAACAAATGTCTGGCTTCTACTAAATGTTGTTTCTGTATAATCTGGGGTGAGGCAATGTACCTCCTTAAACACGTAATAGGGATGTATGCACATAGGTCCTCGCTGTTTTTCCTTCGTCACTGCTCATAGAATAATGTTCTTCACAAAAAGCAAACTGAGATTGTTCTTTCTTGAATCAAGTAGTGAAACACATTCATCTGGATGCTTTTTGTGATCTTTACTGTTACAGCCCTTTTCCCAGACCCTTTCAAAGAGCAGAATAAACAGTTTAGTAATGTGATTAGAGAAAATGTAGTAGTTTGAAAGACGAGCAATGCAAGTTCACCACGCCTTGTGCACATTGATTCAGTAGCCTGCACGGTGCTATTGTCATCCCCTAGAAGATGAAAATTTGGCGTTCCTTTTCCGAGAAAGATTCTCTCCGGACTAGAAGTATTTGTTCTTTCACCTGTATTTACTGAATCCTTTTTCTTCTTTTTTTAAATTATCGTCCACCCTATCCTAGGAAGCTCAAAAGTGCTACTGACCTTCCACCTGACTGGAACTCGAACCTACCGATTAATGATGGAAATATTCTACTAGCAGGCAAACCTCACTCGTCAAGTGTAAGTTATACCACTAACCAGTGAAGTTTCAAATAATATATTATACGTTCATGTCAATGTTTCCCAACTGTTATAAAAACATAATTACAGAGACCAGTGCTAAACAACTAAGCTCATGAACACCCTTTCTTTCTTTTTACCAAAAGCAACAGGCAAGAAGACTAGGGCCGTTTGGAATACCAGGGAAAATGCAGTTTCCAGAAAATCAGCACCTCTCCAAGCAACATCATCAAGAAAGAAATTTTGGCTTCAACATCATCAACGCATGCAAATTTGAATCGACAGAAGAAGGTGACTCCATGATATCACGACTTAATCCAGATACACACTCTCCAAAAAATGTGGAGAAAATTCAACTCACAGCAAGCTGGTATGCAGGGATCTATAAGACAAAGTGCTTCCACAGTAACAAGGGAATGGCTGAGAAGATAAATAAATGCCAAACTCAAACTAAAAGGAGACATGTTACAGAGGGACTTGCATATTCATGCCGATATTCAGCACACTTGACCTACGATGGCCATAATTGAGACAATGGTTTCCCTTTTTGGCATATCGTCATAGAGTCTAATACAATTTCTCTGAGCTTTTCCTCTATATCTTCAACAGGAAGGGTTGCATCAATAACCTACAAAACAGCAAAGACATAACATTAAAAAAGCAGTTATTGCCTAGGCTTTGGATGTGATGCTTGTAGGAGCAGCTATACAAGGCTAATCTGTTATCTTGTAAACAAAAGTAATTAATGTATCAAAAGCTTCAAAGTATATAAGACGAGAGTCTTAACTAATACTAGGATATAATCAATTTAGATAGCTTAATTTAATAAGGTGTAATATAATGCTTTTATATTAACCTTAATTACCATACTCATGTAATGGATACAAAAAAATTGATAGGAAACGTCCAAACAAACTCAAAGAGTACTAAAGTAAAACTAAAAAGTTAGTATTCCAGTGAATATTACATCACTTGCTGCATAACCTTCTATTAAACCATCATTTGTTGATGCACCTAGAAAAAGAAAAGGAAAACTACCTTCCACGAGGAATCATGAAGAGTCAAATAAGAATTGGCGACCTTTTTCTGAAACTCAAGCTGTTCATATCTCTCACCTCCATAACCTCCTCTCTCTGCGGCTTTCTGGTAATTTTCAAGACCAAATCATCAATATCCACAATCAAATCACTACAGCAGCATGTCTTTCATATAAGAAAATGACTGATGAAAATGAATATATATTTAACAAGTAAAGAAATGGGTAACTGGCAAACAACTAGAAATATAAAATGAAATAGCAAAGCTTTATCCTGGATAACAAATGAGCATATCTGACAGGACCAAAGATTGCTTAAGAAATCAAGACTAGATAATGAAAACTACCTCAGGTGATATGTCAAGGTATACAACCAGATCTGGAGCTAACAACCCTATCTCGGGAGCCTGCGGTAAAAGATCTCGTTGCTAAAACTGATTTGAGAAACTAAATAGCAATGTTGAGGACTCGATGTTACCTTACACCATTCAGTATCAAGTCCCTTGGCAGATGAGAATGCTACTCCAGAATAAGAATAGCGATCAACAACGAGAGTAGTTCCACTCCTCAGCTTTTCCTCCATCAACATTCTGCCGAATTGGACAGAATAATTAGAACTATCTGAATGCACCAGCTTAACAATACTGAGCTGATTCGCCTGAAAATTCTTACAGAAAGAGTTGGACATGGAAGTAAAAGTGTTCGCTACCATAACAGGTAAAACTTTCAGTTAAATGACAATAAAATTCATTGCAATATTGTTAAAGAAAATGAAGACTGGTACTTAATTACATACCAAGATAATAAGTTTTATTGTTTTGATTGGTGCCTTATGTTGAAGGCAAGACTATTGGCAGGGAATAGATAAAAAAGCAGGCAAAAGATCATTAACACTTCCATTTTGGTAAGAAGATCATACCATATTCAAGAAAAGGTACATGATTAATTGCGGGAGAAGGAAATTCAAAGAAAATCTTTCAATAATCTAAGGGAGCTTTTTCCCTCCGCTGCGGGTTCTAGCCAGATTCCAGCTGGCACACAGGTTGCAAACTCGGGGGAGTATGAACTTGCCCCTTACCCTCCTCCCAACTTAAATACCAAGTTTTATCCTCACCGGAGTTAAAACATGACATGCACCTAACCCACATATCACTTGTTGCATCTTTTTTACTAAACCAAAACCCTAGAGCAACAATCTAAGATAGTTGAAGAACACAAATGCATATTATACATGCTCTCAGTCTGTCAATGCCATACTTTCCTGGAAAAAATGATAATCTATGCAGAGAGCTTGTCAAGTAGCTATTTAAATAGATAGTAGCAGAGAGAACGTCAACACCACTTAGTTCATCTTTCAATGTTATACAGAGATAATTTTAGCTCTCTGTCAAAAACTGAAACATCTGCTTATTAGTTCGAAACTAGCACGGTGAGAACAATTAACGAGCAGCTGGCCTGCATTTCCACACATGTTCTCTAGTGACATCACAATTTGAGCCTGTCAAATTTCTAAATGATTTACTGCGGTTCAAAATCGCCAAACTAATAGGCACACCTCTTCTCCCAACGATTTGCACTGAATAGAAGATGGATCGCATGGTCATCCAAATGCGCCTGGTTAGCAAGATAAGAAGAAATCATTTGCCCAACACCTGTATTCCTGTCAGGAAATCTCCATGATTCAACTGAATATCCTTGCTCATCAAGGTACTTGTATAGTCTACTAGATTGTGAAGTCTTCCCACAGCGGTCAAGCCCTTCTAAAACAATTAAGGCACCTCGTGAACTGCTGTTTTCTTTGTTTTCCATATGAATATTTCTTGAAGGCTTGAAAGGTAACTTCAAATTCAAACTAGACTTCAATGAACCCTGAGCCGCTACTACACCAAATTTTCTGGGGAAAAACAGAAACTGTATTAGCACAAAGCTTTCGCAACCAAACAAGTTTACTCCACTTCTTTACAAATAAAAAATATGATATACTACATAAATTAAGCCTAATGACATATAGGGAAAAATTGTGAAGTTCCCATCATTTAGCTTAATCTCATTAATCTACAACTCTAACATGTAGACTTATACATAGTATAGGAAAACATGCAGATACTATTGTAATATGCTCTAGCATTTAGCTTAATTCATTAAAACTACAACTCTAACATGGAGACACATAGTATAGGAAAACATGCAGATAATAATGTAATATGCTCTTAGTGGGTCTATTTATGATGATTGATTATAGTGTCCAGGTCAGCTTGCGCACATCTCGACTATTCCATTGGGTACCTACTCTTTGTGGAATTCTTTCAAGCAAACTATGTGTTGCATCCATTACATGAATTTCCGTCTAGATAAAGACATAAATGTATGTATGATTATACGTTGCTTATTAGAATCTCGTACTTCTCGCTATGAAGTTCATTTACACATTAATACTACTCCTTCTGTGCCATATAATGTTGCATTGTTCTACATTTTTAAAACTTGTGGTCTAAAACAAGCCCTATATATTTGTGTGACTATAAATCATCTCATTAAGGGTAAAATGAGAATTTTGAAGCTCAATTATTTTTAAATATAGAAATGAGTAGGGTAAAATGAGAATTTTAAAGTTCAATTATTTTTAAATATAGAAATGTGTTTTTTTTTTTTGGGGCAGATTAAAAAGAAAAGCGGCCACATAATTTGAGACAGTGTTAGTAATAGTAAAGTAGCTAAATGGCAATTGGTAAATAAATTTTGAAATGGACAAAGGACAAAGACAAGTCATCAAACAAATCAAAGAAAAACCTGCAGCGGATCATACAGTTTCTACGGAC